TCCAGCAGTAGGATCTGGTTCTTCCGTTGTTCCAGGCACCGGAGGTCCAGCAGTTGGAGCTGGTGCTTCGTTGAAGGGTTGTTGCATTAAACCAATGGAATTTGGCCTCGGAGGACGTTCGCTTGCTGCGGATGAAATAGGCGCAATCAAAATAAATATCTGTTTAAGTAGTCTCCAGATCAGACAGTCATGAATCACAATCTTTTATTTAACTGAAACACAATATACATTGTTTTATGTATATCCATTTTATTTTTTTACTTAATAAAGTCTTTAATTAAAAGTACGTCAATTCATATAACCCCCCCCCCGAAAACAAGTTTTTTATTTAAAGCTAATTTTGAACTTGCCAATTTCAATTGCATTAACAAGACTAAAATATCTCTTCTAGATCTGGAAACTAACTTGGTTGGAACAGCTTTTGAGAGGAAGGCAGGATAAGAGGGTCATAAGGTAAAGTCAGATCATCTGCATTAACTTACTAGTCAAATATTTACATTTGTTTGTGTGTGCACCAACAATCGCTGTGAGGACAAACTACCGACTTTGCGAATAACACGTTTATTGTGACTGTTGAATAAGTGAATGTCTGGATTTTGAATAAGTTTGGAAATAAAAAAAATGAAGGCGGCAAAAAGAAAAGACTGAGCACAACTCGTTATAGAAGAAAATTTCAAAGCAAAAAAGCATTGGACATCAAAGCATAGGTTTTGTCTTGAGCAACAGCAAATATAACATATAATAATAAGGAACTAATTCCAATTACTGAATTTGAGAGACAGATCAGAAGCTTGTTCAACACTGGCCTCTTTAAATTTCATTCTAATCTTTAACAATTTTGGATTTGTTCTATAATTTTCCCTCAGTTGTAGGGATTACTTCATGACTGATACACAAATTCATGATTCACCCCATCTATCAGAGATATATAAATGTAGTAAGACATTAAGAGGCTTTAAAGTTTTCAAAAATCGGGCAACTTACCAAAACTGGCCACGACGAACCAAAGAACGAAAAACACGTTGTATTTCCCAGCCATTGGAAAAGTAACATTCACCACAAAAAAAGAAAGAGAGGGTTGTGAGTGGAAGAGGCTTGGGTGTCCTACAACCTGAAACGATGAAGGCTTACATGTCCTCCACTGGCAGTTTTAATCATTTGCCACTCCTCTGAGGGTGGGACTTTATGCTAAAGTACATTTCCTCACCAGAGCAGAAGACTCCGAGGCCCAGTTTCCTTGACTCTGTGACGTTTATCTATTAATCAATTGTTCAAAACATGTATCTGTCTATGTTTTATATATTACTGATTTGATTACTATCAAATGTCTATAAGTATTTGTTTAAGTATTAGTATATACTAAATCTGATGTAATAAATATATTTAGTTTGTTATAATATCAAACAAATGAGACATAAGATAATCTGCAAATCCTCACAATTGAGAGGCTGTAATCACAGAAGAAGAAGAAGAACAATGCTGTCTCCTAAGATAAAGGATATATAAATATCTAGGCAATGTTCTGGATTGTAATGTGCCTGGGTCACACCACATCAGGAGCAAAGGTCAACTCAAGTCACCGTCACCACCTTACAGTTGGAGAGATACCAGTTTTCTTGTAGGAGGAAACTTTACTGCAGTGCAAAAAGTTTACTGACAGATGTTATTTTCTTTGTACAATATAAACCACATCACATTACAGTATCTGAAAATGTGTAAATCAGAATTGTATATTTGCAAAAAGTCCGTATTGACTTTCTGTCATATTCATGTGACACTGTTTGTCTTTAACAGCAATGTTCAGCCTCCATCTTGGATTAAACATCAGTGCTCAGACTTTATAAGTTACTGATGGAGGCAGTCATGAAAACGAGGCACATACACAACATTCCCTGACAATCCTTTAATGAATTTATGGCAGTTCCAGCGGCCGTCATTTAACCCTGAGACAAGTTAAAAAACATGATTCTTCCATGGGCCCAGTTTTTAAAAAACCACTGTGTCAACACAACACTAAAGACGTGTGGACAAAAAGTCTGAAGATGTTGCTTCAGAAAGTTGCTCAGCCCACTTACAACAGTGTTATCGTGAGAAATGCTGCCAATAAAACAGGGTGGGATGAGGGAACAGGTGACCTTTGAATTAAAGACGTCATAAGATGCGACCTGCTGCAATCAGTGAAGCAGTTAAAGAAAAACCAAACAAAAGCATTGATGTTGGAAATTTGGAATATCATGGTGTCACTTTCACAAAAGAACTATTAAAGAATTTTCTACGTTGAATGACGGCTAAGCTATCAGCCACCACCACATGAATATCCTACACATAGCTAACTTGTTAACTGAATTTGTACACAGCTCCACTGTTGCGCCACAGTATCAGCGTCATCGTGGGTACAGATGGAAAAATAACCGACTTTAAGCTATAAAAGCAGGTATGTTTTAACTGAAGGTGAAGTAACACAGCAAACACAGGTTTGGTAATGAGAGATAAAAATCAACGGTCGATCAGATATGCTCAAACAAACCGTGGATTGAAACCTGCTGCTATTTTTCTAACGAACTGAAAAGTAAAAA